ATATATACTTTTTACTCACAAAAGTTTCATTTTTACCCCCACAAATTTCATTTTTACCCCATTTGGCGTAATTTACCCAGGTTCCCCAACCGCTACCCTAGATTACGACGAAGCTTCGTCAAACCCATACATAGACAGACGCTTCTAGTAATTGAATCTACACTATTCGCAGTATATTGGAAATTTCCCTAAGCTTGACTTTGAAAAACGATAACATTTTCCAATTCCTTTTTTTGCTGCTTCCAGTATAGTGGTTCCTTCAATAAACGCTGTGTTTAGTCATCTAAAGAATTTGGGCTTTCTTAATCAAATATCGTCGCCAGCGCTCAAAGATAAAGTTATTCGCCAATAAAAGATTTGCATGGGCACCTGAACTGAAAATATAATTTATCTAAAATTCGTTATCAAAAATATTCATTCTTTATAAATCTATTTTTACATATTTTTGGATATCCTTAAAATAATTTTAGTGGACATTTAATTTTTTCTTTTGCAGATTCAGCAAACACAGATTGAGTTTAACATCATTAGTAGTCGTGAATTTTAGGTAAGTTGCAAAACATTATTATTTATTTATAGAATTTTCCTTTTGCGTTTTCCCGAGGCAATAAACATTAAACTAACAACATAAATACATAAGTACATAATTTTTTATGTGTATTGAGACATGTTTCCTAATTTTGTATCGTATTTACCATTCTCAATTGAAAGACGTTTTAATTAGTAGGTACCTAAGAAAGATATATTTGATAAGTACCTAAGAAAATTACTTTTATTGTTCTATATGGACAAGTTTAACAATCTCTCAAGCTTTTGTTCTGTTTATGAAGTGTAAAACATTTACATTTCTCTTATAGTTAATTTGTTCTCAAATTGGAACTAGTTTAAAAGCACTTCACGCAAATACTCCTTCCAAGTCCTTAACTCTGAACCAGACAGTCGATTTCTATTTTCTCTGGAAAGTAAAATTCTTTTCTTGAGGATTTAAAATTCACAAGAAAATAAATTTAAACAATAAAAACTGACTGAAATAAACTTTGACGATTCCGTAAACGAAAGTTACTGAAATTTTGGTAAGATTACAATTAACCATAAGTTAATGAGTATAGAAGATTTGTACAACGGTTTACGATTGGTGAAAATCAACTACAAAAACGTTTAGCGAAACCAAAATTTACAGGACAAATATATAACTATTTATTATCTCACCCGTGATACATATTTAGCTTCCCTAAAAATGTGTATAATTAATAAATATAGAAAGCAAAGAGGCATTATTTGGTTTATGTTCAAAAATATGAGAAATAAAATCTTCCTTATTTCCGCAGATAGAAAGTTTTGTAAAAATTACGAAATGAATAAAATATATAATAACGAACAGTAGAATGTCAACACTTTATTGGCACCACAAAAATTACATTGCAACACATATTGCGGTGGAAGAAATAATGGTAAATCAGTAAAACATCACAATCAATATTTGAAAAA